TGGCGCAGGCGGCAGCGCAGCGGCGGAACTCCAACGGCGCGGTGGTGGCGGCGGCGGCGGCGGAAGAGGAGGCAGCAGGGCCGAGGCCGCCGCTGCCAGGGGAGGTCCAGGATGCCGCGGCCGATGTACGGCAGGAGGGCTCCGGGGCGGACGGCCGATCTCAGCAGCGACGGAGATGTAGCAGAGGTGGCGGCAGCGGCGGCGGCGACCCAGGGGAAAGAATCAGGGGCGGCGGCGGGGATGGCGAAGGCGGTGTCGTTGACGACAGCGCCGCCGCTGACGGTTTCGACGATGCTGACGTCACGTCTCCTGCGGCGTTGGGCCCCGTAGCATCCACCTACCTGGCCAACAGCTTAGCAGACTGGATCGATGAACATGGGGGCGGCGGCGGCGGCGGCGGTGACAGCCCCGCGAGGTCAGCGGCGGCGGCGGCGGCGGCGGTCGTACGAAATCAGCTTCCGCCCGTTGAAGAAGGAACCGACAGCGCCACCGGTGCAGCGGCAGCAAACGACGTGGCAGCGGCGGGCGAAGGCCGTCGGAGCTTTTCCGGATTTGCCTCCGCTACAGCCGCCGCCGCCGCCGCCGGCATTGCTGCTGCGACCCCGGAAGCCGCAGCGGTGGCGGCGACCGCAGCGCCCGCGACTGAAATCGAGGCCGATGCCGGCGCCAATCCCGACGGTCTCGATGATTTGCGCCGCGAAGCCGCGGCGGCGGAAGAGCCGGTTGAGGTTGCGGCCACGGCAGCAGCGGGACCGGTGGCGGAGGGCTGCGCAGGTACGGCAAGTCCCTTTACCCAGCCGCCTAGAGCCAACACCTGTCTCCGCCGTCCCGGGGCGCATCGGGGTAGTCCATGGTCAGCTAGGTCGTTAGCGGCACGAGCGGCGGCATCAGCGGCGGTAGGTGGCAGCAGCGCCGCCGCCGCCGCCGCCGCCGCTGCCGTGACAACAAACTTGCATCGGGCGCTAGGCGGCGCTTACGCAACCTGCGGCGCTGCCGCGGCGGCCGCGCGGCCTTTCTCTCGTGAACCCCCGGGAAGTGGGAGATGCAGCCAGAACGCGGTGATTGCGTTGCTGCCGGCGCGGCAGCGGCCAGCGGCGGCGGCGCCGCCGCCGCCGCTACCACCGCCTCGGCCTCGTAGCAACAGGCGACCGGACGCAGGTCCCGCCTGCGGCGGCCGTGGTGGCAGCGGCGGCGGTAGCAGTGGTGGCGGTGGCGGTGGCAGCGGTAGGGGAGTTGGAAGTGATCTTCGAGTCAGGGACATCTATAATGGCGGCGGCGGCGCCGCCGGTAACACTGCCGTCACCGCCGCCGCCGACGCGCTTTTATTGCCTGGGGCAGTTCCAGCGTAACAAGGCGGGGTAGCATGCCAAGGGGTGTATACCAAGGGGCCTCACGCGCATGCTTCTCGACGTGCACCGCGGTATATAGTCTACTGCGGTACAATGTACCACAGTGTGATCTACTACAATGCGGTTCAGCGTATTTTACTGTGGAGAGGATGGAGGGCTGCATAGGGCTTGTGTGCTCTGTGCGATGAACTGTCCGCCACCATGTCCACAACGCCCGCCATCCAAATGCTATGGCGCCGGTTCTCCTGCTTGCCGCGGCACAGTGAAGTGCGCGCACCGGGGCCGACCGACCCATTCATTGGGCAGTTCCCCTCCCAGGAATGTCTGCGGGTCTGGCGGCTGGCGGCAGTTCTAGCTCGGCGCGCTGGGACGATGTGCGCTCCGAAACCCAACACGTCGTCTCATTCGACTCATTGGACACCCCTACCTATCAATGACCCATTTCAGGTCTGTACGTACATATGTATGTAAATGTGTGCAAAGCCGCATTTGTGCAAAGCCGCTGTGCTGCAAGATTCGAACCCGGGGATGTTGGTTTTCTTTGTGGTGCGCTTCGTGTGCTGCTGCCCTAGGGGGGTTCTAGGGGTCGTTTAGGTGAGGAGGAGGAGGAGGAGGAGGAGGAGGAGGGGACGAGGGATGTGCGATGGCGGGGAGGACGGGGAGGACACAGGTTCTGGACCTGCTGGCGTATCCACCGGAATAAACCCTAAGTCACAACCTAAAACCCTAGCAGTGCAATCCTGCTAATCTGATAGTTCAATATATAGTCTTGCGTCTTGTGTGTTTGTGCGTGTGTGTTGTGTAGTTGTTGTTTTACAATGGGCTCCAGATTCGTGACGAGTGTTGTGTGGTTGTGCGTCGGAAGGAGTGGGGGGGGATGGCGATCTGCGCTGTCGCCGCCGCTGCGACGCCCCCTTGGTGCATTGAGGAGTTGGGAACTGGGTTGCGTGGCGGGAGCGGGGAGCAGGGGGGAAGGTTGTTATTAGAGGGATGGACGGAAATTGTGGAGACGCTGAGCGCGGTTCCGGTGGCTGGTGGGGAGGAGTTGTGTCGGACTGAGTGTCGAGGGACCTTTCTCGCCGTGCATGTCTGCCTGCGGATAGCGTTTATACTTTCTTTGTATGTATGTATGTATGTATGACTTAGATTACACTGTGGGCCGTATGTATGTATGTTGTTACAGGGTGGTATATAGCTTCACCAGCGGCCCCCTTTCCCTTGGAGGCAGTTCCCTGCTCTCCCCGTCGAGAGGGGCACCCTAATCCGTCACCCCATCCGACTTCAGAATGTATTCGTTGGGTTCGGCAACTCACCACCAGCATCCAACCAAATCTAGTGGATCAACGGCGCATCAACTAGGTTCCTGGTCAGCTTGCAAGTTGATATTATTACGTCCTACACCGTCCATATGATGGGGGGCCACCTCCCATTTTAACACTCCTCAAACACCCGGGGAGCCGGCAGGCGGATTTGAACCCGGGTCGGCCGGGAGCAGAAGTCAGGCCTTAACCTCTGCCAGCCGCCTGCCATGTATGTACGTATGTATGTATGTATGCGCGTATGCTGTCACGCACGTGGGTGTGCGTCTTCCTGCGTGTGGATGGCGGCAAGGTCTCCTCCCGTGTGAAACAATAACCGTAATGTCCTAAAGGGACACCACGACACCCCCTGTCCTGTCCTGTCCTGTCCTGTCAGAGAGTCTTGGCGCGTAGAGTTGTTGTTGTTGTTGTTGAGCCAGTTGCGAATTTGAAAAGGCGTCGAAGCTATTGGGGGGGCTATGCTTTGATGCCGCTTTGAGCCGCCCAGGGAAGATGGATCAAGGACAGGTGGGCTTGACGCTGGAAGTAGGGACACTAAGCTCAGTGCAATAGGTGTGTGAAGCAAGCAGCTGTCAGTGGGGGCGACCTGATGCTTTGCGGAGGGGCCGCTGTACTCTGAACGGGGGTTAAGAGGGAGAGAGAGAGAGCGTGTAGTGTCCTCATGGATGTTCACGTGGGTGCGAGCGTGTGGCGTGTGGCGTGTGGCGTGTGGCGTGTGGCGTGCATCACGGCTGCATGGGTGTTGCCGGTGATCGGGCGCCTGGAGAGGTGAGGGGGTCATCTGACCATGACGCATTTGGGCTTCGGAGCAAGTGTGGTGTGTGTATGTGTGTGTGTGTGGTTCTGAAAGAGACTGTGGTGGGGGGGGGGGAATGGTGGGGGGAGGGTGGCAGCAGGAGGAGGAGGAGGAGGGGGAGGAGGGGGAGGGCGGCGATCACGGAACGATGTTGCGGGTGGATGGGGGTTAGTTTAATCAGAGGTAGTGCACCATCATTGGGGGCCGGGCGGTTCTCGTTTGGAAGTGTGGAGGGCTTAGGGTGGAGGGCGCTCGTGTGTACATAGGAACTCTGCAGGGGGCCCTCCCCCTCCCCCCCCCTCCCGGTTGTGATCCTCCTAGCGCATCTCGCATCACGCGTGAGGTTACGGCTGTTTTGCCGGTTGGGCAGTAGTTGTGATGATGATGATGATGGATGTTTTAACTGCTATATGTGTATACATGCTTGGCGTGTGTTGAGCGGAGCTGGTATGTATGTATGTATGTAGGTATGTATGTGTGTGTGTGTGTCTCTCTGTGGTTGCGGAAGGGCGGCGTCGTGTGGAGTCCGTGTTTTGAATGAACTCATATAGAAATCTGTGCGTACATAGAGAATGAACTGATTCAAGTGCGTGTAGCGTGTAGGGAGGAACAGGGGCCTTTGCTGGCGATCGATGATGGCGGTGTGCTGGTTGGCAGCCTCTAGCCACCCGCAACGTTTCGTTCGTCTTCTCGTGCACGTGACGTCGATTGCACACTCTCTTCGTTCGTGTGGCCGGGGGGGAGGGGTCCTTCGACAGGGCAAGGCCGCGTGTCAATCTGTCGTACCATGGGACCACTTTAACGCACGAGTGCGCTATATGCAGATCGGTGCATGCCATCATGTTAGGCAAGGGCAAGGGCAGTTGGATTGATTTCTGCGTGCCGAACACATTTTTCCTAGTGAGATGAAATATTAGTAGTATTTTTGCGTGTTGGATGAGTACGAATGTGCCTGCCTGCTATTTTCATCACTGCATACATGTACAGTGAGACATCTCAGCGGGGGGTACGTCAGGTATCGGATTTTGTTCTGGCCGTATATGTCGTACTGACTGCTTCAGTTTGGCGCTCTGCTATCGTACCACGTGTACGCCATCGTTTTGTCTGCAGAAACCTTTTTTGGCTTTGTTTTCGACAGAAGGGCCTTAAATAATATCTGTTCAGGCCAATGGCGACGATGAGTTGGTGATGCGAGTGTGGGCCCGTGGCAAGCGAACGTGAGGTGCGTTAGGAACCTTCAACCACCTGAGACCGCGTTCCAGCATTCCGATGTGTACATACATACAGACATACATACATACATACAGACAGACATTGCTAAGCGTAAGACTGTACTGCCGGCGCTAGGGATACACGTTTAAAACGTCGTTTGAGGTTTGGTGCAGCGGTTGAAGGGTTACACAATTCGGTCACGGGGTTCAATTTGAAATGTTGAAACCGACCCCCCAAAAGCCGTTGATTGTTATTACACGTGGAAAGAGGACCCAACCAGCCAGAGTTGAGGAGACCCAACACGAACCTCCCGGAATAGCTAATGCATGCATAAGCGTTGCAAAGCACATTATAAAATGTAAATATTTACAGCCGTCCAGCGGGGCCTGCACCAAAATCGTTGCAGCCAGAGACGTGCTTTGATGAAGCGCTCCTTCGTAGCTGATCAGCTGCGCGATAGTGTTGCATGCAATGCGTGCGGCCACGCACACACGCGATGTCCGTACGCACGTGTTTTGTTCGGTGCTACAGTCGTATGACGCGACAATGATCTGTTACGATACGATGCGACGCGACGCAGGCGCGGAAGAAGTTCAAGGAACGAAACCGGGAGACTGCTGTATGCAAAATCGCAACTACTGCCGGTGCTTAGTGATGAGATCAAGACGGATCATCACCCCCTTTTTCCTCTTCCGTCCTGCAATCACATACACTCGGAACGGGTGGGCTTCTCGCATATGGAGTAGGCTCGGGCGCGACTTTCGCCGCTGCGTAGAATAACCGGGCTGAAGAAAGGGATAGGGATAGGCCACCCTGTAGCAGTCGCCTCTTTTGGTAGCACTGCCGTGTCCACAAGTAGACACCAACAACTGCGGCGATCACGACTGCGGCAGCCGTCACGCCCGCTGAAATACCCACTTTTACGGAGGTCATTTTGGACTTGCTGCCGCTGCCGCTGCTGCTGCGCTCCTCAGCAGATGATACTAATAATGTTGGCGGTTCTGCTGCCGATTCCCGTTGAACTACGCTGTGGATTGAAGTGGATAGATCCTCACTGGTGGAGTCCGTGTTTGGTGCAAATGATGCACCCTGGCCGCGCGAAAGGTCAGGTGGCGATGACGGCTTCCTGGGAGGCGAAGGGGTTGGTCCTGGAGCTGGTGCTGGTGCTGGGGGAGGAGGAGGTGCTGGTGCTGGGGGAGGAGGAGGAGGTGTTGATGTGGCTGCTGGACCTGCAAGATCCAGTGTGGCATACACATATACCGAACGAAGTATATTATATGTGTATCCGTATTTGCACACACACAGATGTGGAAAAGAAAAATGTTGTGCAGTTATGCATGCTGTAATATATGGTTTATTGTCGTGTATTGCAGCGGCGTTGCAAAAAATATAGACAGCAGTCTACACCCCACCAACCCCCGGGTAACCCAGCACAGGGCTAGAATTAGGTTTAGGGTATTATCTCGTACCTAGTGAAATTGTGCAGCAGGACGCCATTGATGTAACTGACCTGTGTGTGTATGTGTGTGTATGTGTGTGTATGTGTGTGTATGTGTATGTGTGTGTGTGTGTTCATGGGCCCATTGGTAGCAGCCCACCTTTTCTCACCCCACGCCACACATGTCACCGCGCAACATGCAGTCGTACAGTCCCTGTCATGATCTCGTGTCGCACGTGTCTGACTAGAAAACGTGTGCAGCATGCATTTGCCCAATCCAGTAGTTGATGTATTACATCGTTACGCCTGGTAATGGGGCCGTATACCGTACTCTACCGGCCAGGTTATTACCCACCGTTACCCAGCCGCTTGGGTGGTTATGGCGTCGGTTTCACAACCCCTCCCTCAGACTAAGGGGGATAATCAGTATGCCATTGTATGTCATCATATCTCCAGTTTCATGCAACCGGCCGACTTTCCACGCACTGAAACGGGTACCTCTATCAGTATCATCCACGCACAGATTTGCCGTGCCAAAGGACCATTACTGGTAAGCTTTTGTTCTCCTATAGGATGTACATCTCGTACCGAAGGCTGCAAGGTTCGATCTGGTATTTATACGTCTAATTTGTAAATCAGTGCGTGGTGACCTCCTTAATTAATTGTGGCGATATCGGCCACTCAACCGTGAAGGTGACTGTGAACAATGACTATCCCTCCTAACTCGCTCACCAACTAGCCAATCCTGATCAGCGAGTATACGCACCGGGTTGCATTAACGCACCTGGCGATAGAGGTGGTAGGGGAGCTGATGGCGGCTGCAGCGAGGGTGAACTGGGGAATGGCTGCACCGGCAACCTTGGTGATGGGAGTGATTGTGGCGGTGGTTGGAGGGACTGTGGCGGCGATCGTGGCAAGGCGGGAGATCGCTGTTGTGATGGCGACAGCAAGGGGCTAGCTAGCAGGGGCAATAGCGGTGTCGAGGTCGAAGGTGGTGAAGAAGGGCTGGGTGGCTGCACTGACAGCGGTGTTGAGGGGCGACTGGGTGCCTCGGGTAAAAGCAGTGATAAGGCTCTGGGCGGCGTTGAGGGGCTGAGTGGCCGTGGCATTGACGGTGGTCTGGGGCTAAGTGGCAGTGGCAATAACAATTGCGACGACGTGCTGGGTGGCAGTGGCATTGATGGTGGCGTGGGGCTGGGTGGCAGTGGCATTGACGGTGGCCTGGGGCTGAATGGCCGTGGCATTGACGGTGGCCTGGGGCTAAGTGGCAGTGGCAATAACAATTGCGACGACGTGCTGGGTGGCAGTGGCATTGACGGTGGCCTGGGGCTGAATGGCCGTGGCATTGACGGTGGCCTGGGGCTAAGTGGCAGTGGCAATAACAATTGCGACGACGTGCTGGGTGGCAGTGGCATTGACGGTGGCCTGGGGCTGAATGGCCGTGGCATTGACGGTGGCCTGGGGCTAAGTGGCAGTGGCAATAACAATTGCGACGACGTGCTGGGTGGCCGTGGCATTGACGGTGGCCTGGGGCTGAATGGCCGTGGCATTGACGGTGGTCTGGGGCTAAGTGGCAGTGGCAATAACAATTGCGACGACGTGCTGGGTGGCAGTGGCATTGACGGTGGCGTGGGGCTGAATGGCCGTGGCATTGACGGTGGCCTGGGGCTGAATGGCCGTGGCATTGACGGTGGCCTGGGGCTAAGTGGCAGTGGCAATAACAATTGCGACGACGTGCTGGGTGGCAGTGGCATTGACGGTGGCCTGGGGCTGAATGGCCGTGGCATTGACGGTGGCCTGGGGCTAAGTGGCAGTGGCAATAACAATTGCGACGACGTGCTGGGTGGCAGTGGCATTGACGGTGGCCTGGGGCTGAATGGCCGTGGCATTGACGGTGGCCTGGGGCTGAATGGCCGTGGCATGGACGGTGGCCTGGGGCTAAGTGGCAGTGGCAATATCAATTGCGACGACGTGCTGGGTGGCAGTGGCATTGACGGTGGCCTGGGGCTGAATGGCCGTGGCATTGACGGTGGCCTGGGGCTAAGTGGCAGTGGCAATAACAATTGCGACGACGTGCTGGGTGGCAGTGGCATTGACGGTGGCCTGGGGCTGAATGGCCGTGGCATTGACGGTGGCCTGGGGCTGGGTGGCCGTGGCAATAACAATTGCGACGACGTGCTGGGTGGCAGTGGCGTTGACAGCGGCGTGGGGCTGAATGGCAGTGGCATTGACGGTGGTCTGGGGCTGAGCGGCCGTGGCATTGACGGTGGCGAGGTGGCTATTGTTTGGGGGTTGAAGGTAATGTCTGATGGCGGTAGTTGATAAGGGGGATGTGCGGGGAGGTCGGAAGGAGACGTTGGAGGGCTGAGCGACGCTGGCGGCGGCGTTTCGGTCCAAAGCCAAGTCTCGTCAGTACCCAGCAGTAAAGTTTTGTTGGGAGCAAACAGCAACCCTGATGCCCAAGTAAATCCTTGCAGGTTGAAGATCCGAATGACCAGCATGTTCAAACCCGCGGTAAGATTGACGGAGGAGTAGATTTTGTCCCCAGTACCAATGCTGGGCGAAGGCTCTATCCCATTGACGAATAATAAACCGCTGTATCTGTTTGCACCTAGGCGAAAGGTGGCTCCCGTAATGGGCACCGGTGTCGTGAAGGTCTTATGAAAGTGGATGAACCAGGATTGTTTGCCGGTGCGATTTCTTGCCGTGTTCAAAGCTTCAGGATCGGAAAAAATACTGATGGCTCGCGGATCTTGCCATACGGTGGTTAAATTGAAGGTGCTTACGCCTGGTGGACATACGAAATCAAATACGCAAATGCATGGAAATATAGATAAGAGATGGGGGGGTTTGCGTGGGAAGATCGGTGACACGCACTGTTGTAAGTGATCGCGTCACATATATTATGGCGCGATTCAGAACAGCCGCCATTCACGACATGGTGTGATGGTGTTTACATGTTACGTGTTTTACGCGTGTGTGTGTGTGTGTGTGCTTGTGTATGTGCTAACACGTCGCTAACGTGCAAGTACGGACAACAAGTGAGGACGAATGACCAGCAGATAGAGACGACGGAGCTTAGATTATTCCGCGCGCGTGCGCGTGGCATCCCAACCGCGAACCCCCTAATATTATCCAAATTTGCGACCGCTTGTTGTGTATTGCTTGTTTACGGCACCCCGGTGACCTGGTTTCAGAGCCGTATATGGACTGAAAAATATAGCACTGCATGCCACAAATATGCATTGGGGAATTGCTTTTTTTGACTTTCGAGCGTTTGTTTGGGCCATTGGCTCTCTGTTCAATCCCAAAGGAAGCGAAGTCAGGATTTGATTGGCTGCCACCGCTTCATCATAATGGCCCACGGAGGGCCCCATGATAATCCGCTCTACAAACGTCCCCCAATAGTAGCTAACCCAATGACGAGCATCAGTACGCAGCCGGCACACTCGCGCATTCGCATACCTCTCTTCGCGCCCGCCATCCGGTCGGTATCCCGGTAGAACCCCGGTATTGACTGCCCCGGCGGGAGGGTGGGCCCCTGGTCGCCCTTGAGGCGACATGTGCCGGTGCTGCGGACGTAGTCCCAGTACAGGCAGGGGGCGCTGGTGTAGCAGGCCTGGCAGCAAGCCGCCTCGTCAGGCTGGATGCTGGTGGACAGCGCTGCGGAGTCGATGCCGTACCCAGCGCCGTACATCACCTGGTGCGTGCAGGCTGTGGAGGGTGGGTGGTGGGTGTGGGGCCGAGCAGAGAATTGTGGCAGCCAGACGCACATGTTAGGTATACGGAACTATAGGGTTTCACACACACACACACCACACACATGCACACACACACGCACATACACACACACCCCACACACACATGCACACACACACGCACATACACACACACGCACACGCACACGCACACGCACACCTGCGGGCATGCCGTACACCTGCAGCTCTGCCACCGCCAGATTGACCGACGGTGTGGAGTTGGTGCTGTTGTTCCGGACTGTAAGAAAGCGGCCAGTTTTTGGTGGGTTGATGGGGAAAGATATGACACCCCCGGTCGCGACGGGGTCCGCTGCGGCAGGCGGGGCCTCCACCAGGAAGTTTAAACTCAGCCTACCATCTTCTTTTGAGTACATCCTGAGGCCGCCAAGTCTAAACTCAGGATTCACCAGCTCCTCAGCGCAGCAGTCCCTTCGGAGGTAGAGTGTTAGCCTGGATATGGTCACCAGCTCACCGAAATCGATTGTCAGCCATTGCCCCCCCGGGGTCCTGGTGCTGATAAAGGTGCTGCTATTGCCGCCATTCGGGGGAATGATGCCATCGTTAGCATATGTGGGCGGATATTCATTGGAGAGCAGGGATGAAGCAAATATTGTCCTGCCGATGGCGATGTTGGTCATGGGTGGTGGCGGTGGCGGTGGCGGTCGTGGTTGTGCTAGCCCTGCTGCATACAGCAGGAACAGTCGCCATGCGAGTGGTGAAAAGGGGTTTCTGTGTGGATGATCGAATGAACGGACTCCTGGGTTATTAAGCGGGGGCATTATTAGTGGTTTTCGCGAGTTCGCCCTAGGGGTACGTACACCGCCGTTGTAGCCCTGCTGGCAGCAGCAATGTGTACGGCAGCATTTTGGGCCGACACGTACATATCTATCGTTGTGCACGTAGCTGCAATTCAGTCAGAGCCCCGACAGTGTTAGGTTTACTATTCCCTACTAATGTGCGAAGATGAGGTCTAGGTGATGGACTAAGTTTCGCATGCTGAGATGATGGTGGTGATGACTGATGGCTGTCTCTACGGATGTTGGGTGGTTGGATGAGGAGGGGTCTAGTTGGCAGGACCCTAACCGCCGTCGGTTGTACGGTGTAATCAACTATCACTATATATATACTCCATGGCCTCACGGCTTTGACGGATCCCCCCGCACTCGTGCAGCAGTTGTAACTTGTAACGTATCTACAATTATTATTTGTTCTTCTAAGGCAGGTGGGCAGATATTTGTGTGATAGCAGTTTCTAACATCCGCTCTGAAAGCAGCAGCTGCAGGGAGGATGCATGAAGCCCAAACATCATATCACGTTACGTATTGCTGGTCATAAATGGATGGATATTGCCGTAATATTCTGTTAGCGCCTGTGCGAAAACTAGCTCCTTTGCTCTCATCTATCTGCCGCCGTGCGTGGTGCGCTCGCTTTCGTTGTTTTCGCTGCCTCCGTGGGGATGATGATGAGCGAGTGCATGTCTTCCAATATTAAAATTTCGGACCTTTCGTGGGTTCCTACTTTCCAGCTGCTGGTCCGTCCAGCACTGGCTTATTAGGGCTTTCGTTCGACCGACCTTGCGCAGCGGCCGTGTTGTACGGCACTATTGGGGGCGCCACTGTGACGTACAACAGCAGGGATAGACAGCAGCAGCAGATGTATCTTGTTCTGGGCAAAAAACAAGATACTGGTAGGCGCGGCGGCGCCGTGTTGTTGAAATTTTCTTTGCCATAGCTCCTGGGTACCCTGGTGGATTCAAAAGCAGTACGGGTAAGTGTGTATTTGAATGGACTCCTCAGCCAGTGTAAGACGTGTATCATCATCATCATTTGAATTGACTCATCAGCCAGTGTAAGACGTGTATCATCATCATCATCATCATCATTTGAATTGACTCATCAGCCAGTGTAAGACGTGTATCATCATCATCATCAGCAGGGTCTAAACCCCCTTCACACATACACATGTGTTTGGCCTTTAATGGCCTTTAGCAAATGACCCTTTATCTATGTATTTGATGGTGTGTGCTATTATCCATACATTTACGTACATGCATAATGGCGCCAGCTTTGAGCGAGGGCCGACGGAACTTGAGCACAAACACACACGTTGTCAAAGCTCCAAACCTTCCCTGACAGAAAGAAAGATAGACTTAGTCGGAGCAGGTCGCCGCTGCGACCTCTTCTGCGCTCCTGCTGTTCGCTGCTGTCGGCGAGGTATGTACTAGGCCGCGGCAGCAGAGGTGCAACGCGGCAGGTCGTTTTGTTAAATTGCTCTTACAGAGGTGCCTACTTAAGTTTTGAGCAGCAGTTAGAGACAGGTGTGGTAAGCAAGGTCTGGCTGTAAGGTAAGGTCGCAAGTTTTTCTGTACTATTCTGTACAATGTGGTTTGTGGCTTAGGTTGTCCATCTCCAACATATCTAATATGTAATTTGTTACTGGGGTTATATTCATGAAAATAACTAAACCTACTGCCTTTTTAAGCTTTTTTGGGGTCGGCTGCATGCATGGACCTGTTCGTCTTCAGTTGGGGTAGGTCGGGCGAGGCCACGCACCGGGCGGGACGTACGGGCAGTCCACGTCGCAATATTGGCCTTCACACCAAACTGCGAAAATGTAATTCAATTTTTAACATCTGGATAAAAGATAAAAACTTAGGTGATTAATTTCTGGCGTGCAAGTAAACCTACAGCGGAAATATGCTTGCATGTTTGGATGCATGCCTCGACTATAATAATCATCTTCATAACGTTTCACAGTGAAGAGGCATATGTAATGATGCTAATCAACAATCATTTTAATGCATTATTTATATTTTAAATTGCCGCATGGAAGCCGAAAACGTTTCATTACCACTTGCTTTTAACGAAACCCTGTTGAACCCCCCTTCATATGAAGTAACTGTCATGTTTCTCCTCGTCGCGTGTGCGCGTAAAACTCTTTCTGCTGAATGTTTAAGCTGGTCTCAACCTTTGTCATGCTCGACGCCGTATTCGACATGTTCGACTTTTCCGTCGTATTTGTCACAATCGTGCAAAAAATTCTTTAGTTGTAGTTCTTAATGCTCGTCAAAATCATAAACTTCTTGGAATCTCGCGTCTGTAATAACGGCTTGCCATGTATGCGCGTGACGATGAGTTACGTCGGTTCAGGTCGGTTACGTTTCTCCGCCGGGCGATTGGCGGATGCTGCTGCCTAATGCCTTCGGCAGCCAGATCAAGCCTTATTATATATACTCAACAGGAAAACCGCAGGCGCATACACAAATTAACACTTTGATTTGTCAGCTTTTTCACACCTTTCGTATAAGTAACTCGAAATAATTCGTAAGGTAACGGGCTGCAGCTCAGCGAGCACTCGCTAAGACTTTGGTCCATTACTGTTGACTTGTACACGTCTATGTTTTTCAGTTACTGAACACACGTAATCCTTTTGGAGCTGCATCTGTGTTCAGATACACCGGTGCATGCACACGCACGTCCGACACTTCACGCAGAGGCAATTTAATTTCTCCCAAAACCTAGCAGAGAAAAATGTTTTAGCCAGGTCAGCTTCGCTACATACCCACGAGCATTGCTAATAAAGCACAACGCCGCTGCCGGTTCTCATGGACTTTATTACACCCTCGTACATGCGGAGTTCCACCATAACAGTTCGTTATTCAGGTACAGATATACATAAGCAGGCATACTGCCTGCCGCCCTCCGGTTAGAGAAAATACTGCTGAGCATCAACCTTGAAGAGCCACAAGAAAGCAAGGCCCCGCATACACGAGCCATCTATCCTCACACACCACCCAAGCACTATTGTACTTAAGCACTGTGTGTGTGCCCGGCGGGCCCAACTGGGTTGTCGGGGCAGTCAGTTGCAACAGATTGCCCCTTCACATACATCCTCCCCCGCCATGGAGTCCCCTCCCAGCCAATCACCCACCAGGCACCAGGCGGCTGGTGCAGTGCAGAGGGCCGCCTTGACGACTCTCGCAGGATCAGCAAGTGGAGCGCCCGACCAGAACTGAAATGTGTATTGAACTGTAGCTGTATGTGAGGTCATACGCGAGGTCGAGATGCGACAATTCAGCCCTACCGGCTCATTGGCCGGGCCGGCTTTCAGCAGGGCCAAACAAGCTGTTAAAACCTGTTTAGCCCTGTTATAGGCAGTTACGATCTCTGTTTGGCCCTGTGTGTTTAGCCCCTAAGTCAGAGCACAGTGGCAGTCGCGTGTGTGTGTGTGGGGGTGGTGGGTGGGTGGGTGGGTGGGTGGGTGGGTGGGGGTGGGGGTGGGTGGGTGGGGGGGATGGGTGGGAGGGGGATGGGTGGGAGGGGGGGGGCTCCAGACTCGTGAAGAGCAGTCTGTTATTATCAGTTTTTAGGACCTGTCATAATGCTGTGCATGGCTGGAGCATGCATACACATGAATCTAGAGTTGTCTCTCTTGCTTTTTACATCGGGTTTGCCTCTAACAGTAGCAACACGGTTAGCAACAGTCTCCGATACACAGGGATTCCGAACTTAGCACGGCTGGCGCTGCCTACAATGCATGCACAGCAAAACATGAGAGTAAGGCACATATCAAAAACTGTACATTACATGCAAATATCCGATCTGCCTGGATCGAACAGGCGACCTAAGGATCGCAATTTAAGCGTTACGATTACAGTCCTTCGCTCTTCCAGCTGAGCTAAGATCGGTGCAATTTTCAAATATTTAACTATATACAAACAGATGTATCCTGTTTACCTGCAAACGAAATCTTGAGTCTCTGCCTGAGCTGACTGTGCCGTGAGTGAGCGAAGACGCCGGGCGGAGACCGGGGGACTGCCAAGGGCCCTTACAACGCAGACCTAACCCCGTGTATTCAGGGCATTAGCAATGTAAGAGCTGGAAGTAACTCACAATATAGCTTACTTTATAATTACTATGTCACTCCGGCTGGTCCTTGGACCCCCCTCAATACTCATGTCGTCGTTGTTGTTACAGAGTGGGAGAGATTTTTATTAAACACATTGAACACATCTGGCCAATTGAACACATTTGGATTGTCATACCTAGGATTGAAGGCCATACAGCACCATCCACGCCATACGAACGTGTAGTCCAAGGCGGTTGCTTCTGCATTCTTGAATCCCTCATCATCATGTCAACCGATCATCCGTAGAGACAGAGGGCCGGCCCAGCGATCACCGCCAATCCAACTTGGTGCGAATCTCGGTCCATCAACCGTGACCTTCACTCCAGACCACAAGAGATAGCCATAATCTCACGCACCCGACCATGGCTAGGATATTCACAGGAACAATCCAAGCACCTTTTATACCACAATTTGCAGAGCGTCTCCAGGTCGGACTACTTATATATCTAGGCTCTCCGCACGGCGAGTCGCTGGTCACTCGGTGCCTCAACCCCTTACCACAAGTACGTAGTGTACGGACGAGATGGATGGTTCCTTGAGCGGCGGGGTCTCTCTCACCGGCCATTACAGCCATCCGCATGTGCACATCACGTAGCCACCAGCAGCAGCAGCAACAGCAGCGGCAGTAGTAGCAGTAGTAGCAGCAGTAGCAGTAGCAGCAGCGGCAGTAGTGTATGCACAACGGCCCCCAGCCGGGAGATCGGTGACCATCTCATCTATCTGGCCATTATTCCCCGGTGAACATCGGTGGTAGGTAGGTACCAGCGAAGCAGGGCAGTCTGCATGCAGCTGTCATTGGTACTTGGCGATACCGGCGATAACCACTGATAATGTATTATACCTAGGGATAGACGATTGATAGGCGATTGGCTGCGGTACCACCAACCGATATAACCGATACAACTGAGCGATGTAACCGAACGATTTACACACGTCACCCCGTGTACATATTTGCAAGTACGGGGCAATAAGTGATACTGATGGTCCGGTTGGCGCACAGGGGGGCCGTCGTAAGTTTGAGGGGGCCCCAATGTAACGTCATTTGCTCAGACAGACTGACAGACAGACAGACACGTAGGTATACAGCGGTACGTAAACCAGGTAGATTTCCAGTGGTACCGATGGCCCACATCGATATAAGATCTCCATTTGATCAGACCTACGTCTAGGCATCAGACGTAGGATTCCCCTTCACAAACCTCCCGCCTCTCGCACAGTAACTCACCCACTCCCACCCTCACACCCTGATACATGGCAACTCAACGCGCGCCAAGTAACACCAGTAGTCATTGCCCCACCACCACCGCTGCCGCCATATGACCGACTACCACTACAATAATTGTGTATGTGTGGCTACGTGCCCCTGCTGCCGGCACGGCCTTTCTGCTGCGCTTCAACCCCCGCCGTCGCCGCCGCTGCTGCTGCTACGGCGGAAGAGGAGATCGACGCCGACGCAGGTGCAGGTGCAGTAGCCGCCGCCGCCGCCTCCGCAGCCGCGGCCGCTGACGTGTTGGTAGCAGATGCCGGCACGGGCACCGCCGCCTCCGCAGCCGTTTCCACCGCCGCCTCTGCCGACGCCGATGCGGCATCCAGTAATCGAAGAATGTTCTCGTATGCCACCAGAGTGACGGCGCTCTGCGGCATCACTCTAAGGAGCGCCGGACCCAGCCCCTTGTAGAAGCCCCGCAGACCCTCCCTCTGCCACGTCAGTTGGACCACCTGGCGGTCGCGTCACATCAGCGGGACATCACATCAGGGGGAGATCGCGTCAGCGTGACATCGGTTAAATAATTTGTCGGGGCTTACAAACCCAGCGCATCACCCCTAGGGTGAATTAGGCACTCAAGGTCTTACACATGTATGTATGTATGTATGTATGTATGTATGTATGTATGTATGTATGTATGTATGTATGTATGTATGTATGTATGTATGTATGTATGTATGTATGTATGTATGTATGACTTAGATTACACTGTGAGCCGCGATATGTATGTCTGTATGGTACTACTGCTGCTGAGGGATACAACACCCCTAACCCACCTGGCTAGTAGAGTTGTACACGAGTGTACGGCTCACGTCCATTCGTTGTTGTAGCCGTGATCGTACCACCTGCCCGGGTAGTTGGTAGCTGAGCGGTTAGAAAATACCCGAAAGGGGTTGTAGACAGAGCAAGCGCATCCGGGCAATGGGATCGGTAACGGGGGCTACTTAGGAACATAGAAAAGAGAGAGTGAGTGAGGGCGAGAGGATTCAGATTCGGGGGGGGGGAAGAGAAACGATGAAGGGCATTGGGAGGGAACGAGACAGAACGCATACACCCGGAGGAGAGGCCAAGAGCCAGAGTGAGAGTGAGAGGAGCATGTCTGTGTGTATGTGTGTGTGCAGCCACACATGTGTACGTATGTACGTATGTATGTTTACCTGCGAGGGGTAGGTGGTGACGCTGGCAGTGAGCTTCGAGGAGGCGGCGAACAGCGACAGCTCGCCGCTGCCCAGCTGCCGGTCACACTCCTCCGCAGACCGACCGAACCGCGATGCAAAGTACTTGAGTTCGTCGTACACAGCAAACTGTACGGCGCCGTGCATGGTTTGCTACAAGAGTAGCACGGGACAGTAATAACACAGTGCCGGGTGCGGCACGGCATACAGAGCCGGTGTGTGTGTGTGTGTGTGTGTGTGTGTGTGTTGTATTCCAGGTGGTAGTTGGATAATGAAACCGGGCGGCGGCGGCAGGATTCGCAAGGATAGGGTGGCGCGATTGGCGCACCGGGGTGAGTGGTGTGAGTGCATTGGTAGATCATCACGCAGCTGTAGAGCATGCATGTTCGGTGGAAGGGAGGGGTTGCTTGGCATCTGATCTGGTGTATGTAGCTGGTTAGCTTTGCGTTGATGATAAGGGAGATCGGTTAGGACTCTGACCGATACAACGCCCCGCCATGACGGAGTGCTTCGGCGGTTGTTCCCGTTGGCGTATACGGTTAGGTGGGCCCCGTGGCCAGCGCCAGGCCCGGATCGATACGTAACAGGTACACACACACATACTGTTACACACATACACACATACACACATACATACATACATACATACATACATACATACATACATACATACATACATACATACATACATACATACATACATACACACATACATACATACATACATACATACATACATACATACATACACACATACATACATACAAGTCGGGGTCGGGAGCACACAAGACTAACCGACTTGTGCTGTGTGCTCCCGACCCTTGCGCTGTGTTTCGGCTTCGGCCCCCGGCTCTCGCGGCCCACAGTGTAATCTAAGTCATACATACGAACATACGTTTACATATACTCCTCACCAGCAATAATGATGGCCCCAGGCCCTTGTAATAACCCCTCAGGCCCTCTTCCCGCCCGATACGAATCATAGCATCCAGGAAGCCGCTGTACGGCAACATCTGCCGGCCCGCTGCTGCTGCTGCTACTGCTCCAGCAGCACCCGCAGTGGCATTAGCGGCTGTGGCTGCTGCCGCCGCCGCGATGGGCGCTCTTTGGAGCTGCAGCCGGGTCTTCACCAGCCAGATTGGGTTAGTGAGAAGGCACACCTGAGGAGGGTGGTGGTAAGGGGATGGGAGCGGGGGATGTTGGGAGGAATAAATCCACTCAGAGGATCAAGGGGTCATACTCAAAGGCCTTGTTTAGGATTTGTACATACACAAATATAAAACTTTTCCTGTATACTCTCCTAAAGAAAGGAGGATACATTGGAAGAGTGATTTTTGAAGTACACCAGAAAATACGGCTGGGAAGAAACGCGTACGGGAAAAAACAGAAGTGTTAAGAGCGCCTCTGCGAACCCAGTACTTCCCGGCCAACCCAGCCCGACCCGATCTTTGGCGCTATATCCCTCTCCACTCACACACCTGGGCCCCCCGCTACCACCACACACCCCGTCAACCATCCTTTCCGACTATACACGACTATCGCCCATCCACCTCCGTGGAATATCAGCGGTCGGACTTCTCCACACGCCCCGGTTCCCCCGCCGCTGTCGCCGCTCTTGTTCCCATCCCCTTTAGTTCTTCATCCCCCCTGCCCGGCTGTGAATGTGTGATGTAACTCCCAGTCCCATAGCACCCACCATCGCCCCTTCCCCTGGGCAACCCCTGAGTATGTGTACTCCCAACATGTACTCTACTGCATCCCCCACGCCGCCTTCGCTTTCAATTTCGTCCCCGCCACTGCCGCTGCTGCTGCTGCTACTGGTGCTGCTGCTCCCCTCCTCCTCTCCGGCTTTTTGCACCCACCATCGCTCCCGCTTGTGCCGCACTGGCCATGTTCCATCCCGCGCTGAGCCGGTCCCGTCCCTGCCACTGGCAGTGCCACGACTTGACCGCCTCGTAGATGGCGAAGTAGGCGGCCCAGGAAACGCCTGCACGGCAGCCGAGTCGCCAGGACAGCAGCGGCAGTAGCAGCAGGATGTGCCAGCAGTAGCCGCAAGGGCCACGGAAGCGGCAGCAGCAGCAGCAGTGGCAGCAATAGCAGGAGCAGAAGGCAGTAGCCGTAATAGGTGCCCGATTCCCAATTAATTTGGGGAATTGGACGAGACGTAATTATCCTGCATTCCGCCTGTACATCCCAGGTGTCGACCCATAGCCTGAAATGTGAAACGCTACGTGCCGCTGCCGATGAGGCTTGCCTGAACCGATCAGCGCGGGCGTAAGCCCCCTGTAGAAGGATCTCCATCCCTCCTGAGTCAGCACGCTGCGCGCGGCGTCCAGCGCGTTCTTGTACTGCTGCAATGCCAAGGAAGCTCCATCTTGGACTGCAGTAGGGTAAGGCATGCCGTGAAATTGAGCGCGTCGTTCGGAATTCGTGCATAGTACGCTGGTGGAATGTTGACTGCCGCCAGCGCCGCCTGTAGTCCTTACCCTGCAGACGGGTCTTGATGACATCAAACGGGTGTAGGAATAAGACTGCCGCGGAGCCCGCCAGGCCCCCAGCTATCATGTTGTTCCATTGGTTCTTCTCCCCTCGCTGTGCTTTCGCCATCCTAGAACTAGCAACACTGTGGGTACGCTTTAACTAAGTGGGATTTGCGGTGTGCCATAGGGTCCGTATATAATTAACTTTTCCAAGCAAGTAAAGAAAAGTACACAAACGTGACTTCAATGGTTTGTCACACTTGACCGAGGACTAACCATCTTGGCACATCAAGACTTCAGCGTTCAGGATGCACAAAGGTTTTGCGACTGGACAGCTGACAAACTCTAGGTTGTTGTCCAATAGCGCACGTGGCCACACTACTCTGTTTGGACAAGCCACGCGTATGATCACTTGCGGACAGTTAATGCTGTACAGGCACTTTCCCCACAACTGCAATTAGGACAAAGTAGTCCTTTAATTCAACTGTACGCCACTTTAATTTAATTCCAGTAACACTTATTGCACTTCCCACATAAACAGTCGACAAGGGTCAGGCAACAAGGGCTCAATAGTAAATATACCGAGGGGCCATGACAGGAACATAATGCTCGATGCTTTCAAGCTATTCTAGTATATTGTATTTACACGATAGAGGATACTCTGGGTCACTGCCTACCTGGCTGCCCTCACTATCGGGCGCATCGCTTCACGACGACGCTCTAGAGGACCGGAGGCACCCTACCGCTACCCCATCCCTTATATACGACATCACAGTCAGATATACGTTGCAACTTGTCACCCTTGCGTTGACTCTGGTGCTGGGCATCGCGCTTGCCGTGGGCCCCGTCACGCGGCGCGCGCTCTCGCGAACCCCAGTAAGCAACAGCACCTGCAGAAACTCCGACCACAGTGCTTCATCTCATCGCGTGGATGCTCGGGGGCTTAAATCCGCCGTACGGGTTTTGAGCCGCGGCTCCTTCTCGGCGCTTCGTCGCATGTACGACAGCATGATGAGCCTTGCAGGCATGTTTGGGAGCATGGGCCGTAACAACCAGGATCGCGTCCAGCGGCAGCAACAAGAGGCGCTTCTCACGAAGAACAGAGAAAAGCTCCAGGGTTTTCATGACATTGCGCGGGTAAGGAAGAGAAGGCGAACAAAGCAAGCGCAGTCGCTGCAGTCGCGCACAAGGTTCCGCCAGCTGCCAGAAGATATTCCCCAGCTGCCAATCGCCAACTAACAATCTAACCTACCTGCGACTCCCGCAAAATTTCAACCCAAAATAGGCTGAAGCTCCGATTTGGTGCAATCGCTGCTCCTCTGGCCGCAGGGCCCCGCCGACGTAGTCTTACAAAATTTTTTCTTACTCTGCCAATTTTTCGTTTTTGCCTCCTCCCTCCGCCGCCACCGTAACTTCATCTCCTGATGCTGCTACTGCTAACACTGCTGCTGCTGCTAAAACTGCTGCTGCTGCTGTCGTCGCTTCTGCTGTTAGTGGTAGTGATAGGCTGAGGCACCGACCGTGTCTCAGTCCACTATCCAAAGTCCCCGCCCCGCAATCCCTCACTCACTCCTCGGTGACCCCCCGGCAGGAGGCAATAGACCGCGCCTACAACGTGGACCTGGAAGGCCGGTACGACGCTGCCGTACGGTTGTACAACACCGCTTTGGAGGCTGCTAAGGAGGGCCTCGCTCTCCAAGTAGCTCCCAGTAACGGTCTGGGGCCCAAGGCGGATAACGTGGCCACCTGGCGCATCGAGCTTGAGGACTGGAAACATCGGCTAGAGGGAAGGTAAGGTTGGTACGGCTGTTTGAGTGGTCGTATAGATGAGGCCGTACAGGTGTGAAGAAAATTTCGGCCTGCGAGTTTGGGGTTCTTAAATAATCTTCAGATGTTCAGTGTGTGTGGTAAAGGTAAAGGTAAAGGTAAAGGTAAGGGCTGATGGAACCGGATGCGACCAGGCCATGGGGGCAGGGGGCACGGGGGGGGACGGAGGCTACCTAGGGGCGGATGACGGTAACGGCAGCGAGAGAGGGCGGCCAGATGGGTTCGATTGCACTGCTATCAGTTCTAAGCCATCGTTTTTTTCCCGCTATATGACGATATGTATTCATGACCCGTGGGTCGCGCGTGGCCACGGCGGGGCTGCTATCCAGGCTGAAGGCTATCCAATCGGGCAACCTTTCGTCGCCATCGGCGCCGCCCGTACGGCCGGTGCCGTTTGCCGCCGCCGCTGCCGCCGCAAGCAAGCGCCCGCACGGCGCCGCCGCCGCAGCGGCGCCGTCACCTCAGCCGACTGGCCGTGCCGCGTCTGGGCGACCGGCTTTCGGAGCACCAACAGGTCCGCGCCTAGCCATTTTTTACTCCTAACATACTTATCAAAAGATTGCCGCTGCTCTTGCTTCGTGAAATTGGATTAGTTCCGTATGTGCATGTCAATTCGCGTGCAACGCCTTTTTTTCCTTTTGTTGCGATCGTGTGTTTTCCTTTTTTATTTCTTACCCTCTCTCCCCCCCCCACCCCTTACATTCCCCACCTCTTTCGCTGTGTTAGACCCCGCCTGCAGCCTCAACAGATCCCCTGACACCCCACCTCTCTCCCATCCTCTCTCTCCCTCCCCGCCTCACCCCACCACCTTCTTCTTCTGTCACACATAGCACCGCGACCTTCCTCCGCGGGCCGTATCCAAACCCGTATCGCCGCTGCCGCTGCCGGCGGCAGCGGCACCAAATCCGTCGTCGTGACACGCCCAAGCAGACCTGCCGCCGCTGGCGGCGGCGGCGGCGGTGGCGGCGGCGGCCGCGATGATGGTTTGTCAAAGTACAAGGAGATTGTTATGGGGGAGATTCTGGATCGTTCTCCAGGAGTCCGTTGGGACGACATTGCGGGTTTGTCAACCGCCAAGGCGGCTCTAACGGAAGCGGTTATTCTGCCGGCGTTACGACCCGACCTGTTCCAGGGGTTGCGGGCGCCAGTACGGGGCATCCTGTTGTACGGCCCCCCGGGCAACGGCAAGGTATACGGCACATTGTACTGCGCATGGGCGCAGGATACTGGCGTTGGGTGGGGCGGGGAGAAGGGACGGGAAGGGTAATCGAAGTTCTTCTGTTGGTAGGGAGTACGGGAAAACCTGGGTGGGTGTTGTGGAGGCTGATGTCTGAAAATTTCGTGTGCGCGATGTAAGTGCTTAATAAAATAAAATTATTTAGTGCTGGATTTAAATGTTTTTTAAATAGAAAATGATAAAAGATTAAAATTATAATAAGTCAATACCTGAAAAGAAAAAACCAAAAGAGGCCACACAACGATGCGTGAGGGCGGGTGATGACATGTCATCGCCAACGACTTCAAAGGGCGCACAAGTCATGGCGATTGTCGTACTCGTACGCGTGGACCACTATTATTAGGATTTGTTTGTGGGTTACCTTCTAAACTAAACCGCCCCGGTCCTCAACTCGCTGTGGCTCTTCGTCAGTCACTGATCGCGGTCTGTACGGAATTAGGTGCCGTACCTCCTGGACCCTACCCCTGCCGTAAACCTCAATACCCACTTGACGTGGCTTAGCTGCCGGTTTTCCGCTGCTCTTCTGTCACCCCCTCTGTCACCAACCGAGCGACTTCCCCCTCTCTTTTCCCCCCCTGGCTCCCCTCTTCCCCCCACCTCCTTTTCCCCTCCTCCCAAGACCATGCTGGCCAAGGCCCTAGCTGCCCAGTCCCAAGCCACCTTCTTCAACATTTCCGCATCTTCGCTCACCAGCAAGTATGTTCGCTCACCGTATTTGGTGGGGGGTGGGGAGAAGCGGGAAGGAGGACGCGAAGGGAGGGAACGGGAGGAGGGGTTTCACGGGTCGGGGGGCGGAGGGGGTTGCCGCTTCGAAAGGCGGCACGAGGGGGAATGAGGAGGGCAACGGGGCTCAGAAGAAGGGTCAAGAAGGGCTTGCTCCGCGTAGGAAGGGCGACATGGGGAACGTCATGGCGAGTGCCGCGGGGGGGGGCAGGGGGGGGAGGACGCGGAGGTTCAGTTGAGGTTTGGTCAGTTTTTACAGGATTTATTTGCTTTTAAATCTAGCAAATTGGGTCAATGTATTCTGTAGTGCTTTTTATATTAATTTTTCTTGATGGTATTGGAGTGGTTGGGACGGTTGTGGTGGTTGGCGTGGATTCGCTACCGGCCACCGCTGACAGTCTCAATTATCCCTCCGCGTACGGTTATCTTTTCCCCCTGTCCTCAACCGACAACGGACAACCGACAGGTGGGTGGGTGACGGTGAGAAATTGGTTCGCGCGCTTTTCGAGTTGGCTTCGGAGCGGCAACCCTCTATCATCTTCATGGACGAGATTGACAGCTTGTTGGCAGCGCGGGGGCGGGCGGGAGAGGGCGACGCTGCGCGGCGGCTGCTCACGGAGTTTCTTGTCCAGTTTGACGGGGTGGCGGGCGCGGCGGGGAGAGAGCGGGTGGTGGTGGTGGGTGCAACGAATCGGCCGCAGGTGCGTGTGTGCGGTGGGTGGGTGGGTGCGTGTGCGAGATGCGTCTGTATGTGTATCTGTCTGTACGTGTCTGTGTTGTTTGTGCCGGTGGTTGATCGGTTGCCGTTGGGAGTTACGGGAAGTGGGAAGGAGGTCACCTGGGTTGGCGTTTTTTCTCTATGTCTCTCTCCCTCTCCCTCTCTTCCTCTCCGTCTCTCGCTCTCCTCTCTCTCTCCCTCTCCCTCTCGCTCTCTCTCTCCCTCTCGCTCACCCTCTCCCCCCTCCCTCCGAAACCAAATTCACCCTCTTTCCTCTTCCCGCCTCAACACGCCGGCCAGTCGCATGGCTGCTTCCGAAGCCGACATGAGGTGTTTGGGACATCAGCCGTCAGTTCTTTCCTCCCTAACTATTATTGCGTTATTATTGCGACTCTTCCTTTCCCTCATGCGCCCTGCGCGCTCAGTCCGTTCCACACACACTTTACTTCATGCCGTACATTAGGAGCTGGACGATGCCGTACGGCGGCGCTTGACGAAGCGAATTTACATTCCGCTGCCGGATGCGGAGGGCCGTCGGGCGGTGCTGACCCACTTGCTCAAGGTGATGCAGCTGCCTAGAAGGTTGGGGGTGGGGTGGCGCTTTTACTGCTTGGCGTGGATGTGGATGGGGATGTGGATGTACCACCTGGAGGAGAGGCCCAAAACGGCGCGAGAGATGTAACCCGGGTGGAGGGAGACAACCCAACCATGACTCACCGAGGGCTCGGGGTACGGCAGGTGTGGGGGGCCGACATAGAGGGCCTTCGCCGACCGTCGGCAAGACGCGCATGCGAAACACGTGAAGTAGTCCTTATCCCTGGAATTATATATAGGCTATCTCAAGTGGTTGGCATACTTGAATTGTGTAACTGCACGAAAAAGCAGGGCCCTGCACGACACTCCCCAAAAGGACAATAATGCCAGTACCACCCCCACTACCACCCCCACTACCACCCCCACTACCACCCCCACTACCACCATCCCCACTACCACCATCCCCACTACCACCCCCACTACCACCCCCACTACCACAGGGTCAGCGCGTGAGCCTCACCGACCGGGACGTGGTGGGGCTGGTCAGGTCCACGGAGGGCTACTCCGCCTCCGACCTGGCAGCGCTGTGCAAGGAGGCCGCCATGGCCCCGCTGAGGGAGCTGGCGCCGGAGAAGCTGGCGTGTGTGGCGGCGAGCGCGCTGAGACCCATGGGTCGGCCCGACTTCGAGGCGTCGCTGCGGGTGGTGCGGCCGTCCGTGGATGCGGCGTCGCTGCGCGTGTACGAGGATTTCACGCGGGCGTACGGCACGCAATAGAGGAAGGGGAGTTTGGCGGGATGGGATTCCGGGCCGGGAATGTTGATGATGGGGAAGTGCGTGGTGGTGTGGAGGTGGGTGGGAGGAAGGTGGTGGAAAAGGTGTCGGCGAAGGAGAGGCTAGGCTAATGGTTACGTGAGGTAGTGCACAAGTGCGCGCCGGGAGATATGACTTTGCTGTTTAATTGTCCCTCCTCCCGGTCTCGTTGGAGGGCATGTACGATAGGTACGGAGGCGTAGTACGACATTTATCTCTGCATTTTGGACTTTCGCCTTATAAGTTTAGTGCTACATGAAGATTAGACAGGCTGTTACACTGCAAGGTATATGAGTTATAAGTTCACCGTATTATTCGGGAATTAGCATAGTACAATTTTGGGTCTCTCACTGGAGAAGTGTTTTGGTGTAGGCTTTAATGTTCGATGTTATGTGCACTTATCTTGGGTAAACCTTCCTTTGACATCTCCCATATGGTGCCATAACCCCTGTATGCAGATTCAGAAGGTAATGCTAGAATGTAAGCGCATGTTTCTGTGTAGAAAGTTTTCCGGCGCGTGCTAATTTTGCTAATAGCTGCAGTGAGGCTAGCGGATGCATGCGGGGATTTACCAATTTATCCGAACCTTGGTACTCGCGCAAGGAGGTAGTTGTTCATTACTTTGTTACATCCGGACACGTGCGCCGCAACACAAAAGACTGGTCAACGAGTCTCACAGCCCGAAAAAGGACAAGCTGTTCAAGCGGAGGAAAAGCTGCATTGTGCCAAGAGAGGCACAGAACACCTTCCACACCATCAGGCGGCTCCAACCTGGCCAAGCCAGGCTGAGCGTACGAACGAACTAAGTAATGGCATCGCACCACCACTGCTCACCACGGCACACAGGATAGTATCAATGTAAAGACGCTGTGGCCGCACTCTCCCCACTCGGCAAAATTCGGCGGCTTGCAACCGCTCACAGTTCTCTCCCCGTCACGAAGGGAAGGGGGACCGCGAGTTGCGCAAAACCGGTGCAGCTGCCGTGCCCTCGCGCACTGCAAAGGGCCTTAGTCAAGGTCCTGCACTATAAAGCCACAAACACGTCAGCTCCATCATCACCCCGTAACCCCGCCAAGGACGCAGCTGTTAACGTCGGGAGCCGAGTTTCAGACAGAAAACCGATCTAGGCGTATGCTGGTCCACAGCTTGGATTTCTGCTGCAGGTAGTTTACAGGCCAGAGCGGCCCCAGACGACCAGAGACAGAGAGAAGGAGAACATGACGCAGGTGGCAGCCCAGCCAATCTGGACAATAGCGGGCTCGCCCTGCGAATAAAATAAAAATCAACAGCATCGTGATGTTAGAGTTCAAGACAAGCGTTGAAGACAGTGCAACGGTGGATACGCACAGGAAAACAAAAGAGCGCAAGCAAATCAGAGTCAGAACCGACAAGGTGTAGTGCATCGGCAATCCTTCAACAGCTTCTGCACATTACATGCAGAGGTCATAAGGATCCTCAACAGGACTGAGAGAGGTCTCACCTCAGCAAGCATGGCCACCTCCTGAGCGGCCTGGGCAGCCGGAGCCAGCGCCAGCGCCAGGGTCGAGGCAGTGGCCGCAACCGCAGCCATGGCAGCCTGCACAGGGAGTATGAGAGCGCTCCCGTTACTTGCGGCCAATGGGATATGCATGCTCACCAAAGTGCTCCAACGGACGTGCGGTAACAGATGTGATAATCTGGCATAACAGCATCATTAACACTCCTTCATTTTATGCGAATACGCGGCAGGTAGCTGATCACATGCCGTCTCCCTTTGTTGGAGAATCTCCACCATCACAATATGGGTCAAAACTGAAAGATCCGCTGATTCAACCTCAATGGCTAGTATCACAGTAACAGCAGATCCACGAACCTTCTGCTCAGCCGGCTTGACGGCCTGGACCTTCACCGCCTGGCGAGAAGCCACGCGGGGGCGGCTAACAGCCGAGCGCTGAGCGACGCGGGACACGCACTGCATTTTTAATGAAATTGTCTTGGGAAAGAGTGCTGTCAAAGCGTGCAGAAGAAGCGTCCTCTTGCGGCTTTCTGAGGACCGCTTGCACTCCTGCCGGACAATTGTACGGGGGCTTATCTGCTGATCAACATGCGCCAACATCACCACTGGACATGGCCAGCAATTGATGCATTTAACGCTTGATATTTCTTTTTATTCGTTTTCTGTTTCTCTGCTCCTTTTGCTTGCGCTCTGAGGCGCACTTTTATCGGCATATAGAAAGCGACGACTGAGAAATCTGCTGAACGTTTCCAAGGTTCCGACATGGCCATGTCAGGAACAATGCAACGATCTGTAAATAAACCAAATACTGCACGGACACGCTCCATGACACATGTGCCGCAACTCCAGAAGTGCACATCTGCTAGGTAAATCCGCCACTAGGCGCCCGATATATACAGAAGTTGCCCGGGGACCTTTCTCCTCCAGGGACATTAAAAATAGGTGAAACGCAACTCTCAACGTTGTCTGTGAACCTCTTTCCCCTTCCCCCCCGAAACCCCCGAACCCCCGATTCCCGCAATCCGGTCGGCACACCTCCACAAAACAAACTTACCTCCCACCTCCCCCGGGTGCGTAGAAACCGCCGTACATTGGCTGCCCGAGCGGAGCAGCAGCAAACGCAGCAGCAACAGCAGCAGCGATCTGGGCCTACGGGTCTGAATGTTGGCAAGTACCGCCCAACTTCGCCTGCTGGTTGGGCTGAAATGGCGGCGGCGCTGCGGCAGGCTAACGTGAGAACTGCTAAGGGACATTCGGGGACACTAAACGGGCCGAAAACAAAGCCAGCTGTCAGAAGCATCGTGAACTAGGATGTCCCCGTTGTGCCTCGTGTGGGAAGGGGAAAGGGCGGGAAAACGACGGCTCAACGTCGGGGTCCAGCTCCTCAATCTACCCTGGGCCACGGCTGCCGTGTTTTCTTAGGGTTTTTGAGTCCGGTTCGCACAGGCGTGCTGCATTCTCCTGCTCGGGCGGAAGCACAATTGCAACGGTCGTCGTGTTGTGACAGAGATGAGAAGAAGTTGATGAGGAAAAGGAAGGGACGAGCTGATCAGGAGAGGGGGGAGGATTGGGTCTTGAGGTCCTTTCGGCGGCGGGGGTTGAAACAACGGCGGTTGGAAGTTAGAGCGAGGGGTGTCATAGCACGGAGAGCGAGGGAGGGAGGGAGATGTGAAACAAGGGAAGGGGTAATGCGGGAGTTCTGGAGCACAAACCCTAAACATGCTACGTTCTCTACGTTCTCCCCTCGGCCATCGTCCTGCCTGGGTTCCGCGTCCCCTTTCCGCCTTTTTTAAAAACCCTTTTCCCCCCCTCGTTATCCCCCTCCCTCCCCCTCCATTGCATGTGTTTTCCCCTCCCCTCCCCCCCTCCGGCGACCCCCAACCCTCCAGGTCAAAGTGGTGGCCCCCCAAGAGCTGCCCTGGATCAAGGAACGAGGTGCCGTACTGCTGGACATAAGGCCCGCAGAGAACTACGCGGAGGTATGGCAAGAAGGCTGCGTGTGCGCATGTGTGTATGTATGTATGTATGTATGTATGTATGTATGTATGTATGTATGTATGTATGTATGTATGTATGTATGTATGTATGTATGTATGTATGTATGTATGTATGTATTATGTATGTATTATGTATGTATTATGTATGTATGTATGTATGACGTTGATTACACTGTGGGCTGAAAAGCCGGGGGCCCAGGGCCGAAGCACAGCGCGGGGGGCGGGTGCATACGGCTGGTTAGTCTCATGCACTCCGCCCCCGGGTCAGGCCGCACGGGAAACGACGGCCGGCACGCAACAGCGCTTGTTTGGCGCTCCAACTAGACGGGATCTATGCCCGTTGGTCTCCTAACATAAACGAAGTCGCAACTGGGGGGCTCTTCCTGCCGACCGAACGAACCGAGCATCTCAGAGAGCTCGCTACCAGGACTTGGGCGACCGGGAGCCCGACGAGTCTTCCCGGGCTGGGGAGGTCACCAAGCTCAAAAATCCTCACGCAAAAAAGAGCGCAAAGAGCTCACACCACAAGACGCCAAACAGCCTCCTGAGACTACTACCCTCCTCCGCCTCT